AGCAGGAATTGGTCTATGCATAGAATTGTACGTCGAAACCAAGCTCATCTGTCCTCTGTATTATAGTGTAGCATATAACTTTGTTTTTATTGCATAATGCCCTGGTGGATTTGTTAAATGAAGACCTTGTGTGACAGTGTTTGTCTGCTGTGCAACTGTATGGATGGAACACACACGGTACTCTCCTATAACATGGCATTAAATGATATTCATAGAAACCTACCACACCTCATTTCAGGAATATAAACTGTCCCTCTATGGTCACTCCCCTACATTTCCTCTAAATATTTTTTCTCTTTGCTGTACCTCAAAAATAGCAATTGTCATGTCAAAAATGCTCCAGACTGTATTGTTGCAAGTGAGTGCCACTTTAATACACTACAGTATTTAAAATTATTAATTCACAATATTTTTATGACAAGATGGCATCAAATACGAAGCACTTCTGATGAGAAACTGAGTCATATATCTGTTTTGGGTTTAAAAAAAAAGTGTACCAAATCATCCGTTTGATAACCGTTTGATTTGTGACCTCGTTAGTCTCTCAGTGATGGGCTAAGCTTTCCTGTGGATGTGTCTGTTGCGTTAAAATGTCACATCAGCAAGTCTTAACTCCCATGTCAATTGACAAACACAGCTCAAAAGATAAAATATAAATAAAATAAACTGAATTGAAACAACTCGCAGTTGACCCTAGGAATGTTTCAGCCTTTGGAGCCCCGCAGAAAGGAAGGTTTCTGTCTTCATTAGTTGGCAGATTTGGTGGCGCTACAAGGAAACAGGATGTATTTGTCTAGGCTCTTATGCACCGTTGAGGTTTCGTTCTCCCTACGTAAGGAGATGCCGTGCCATGCCCTGCAAATTTAAACATGCCGTAGTCAGATCTTCCTTTCTCTTAGAACAACTCACTGGAAAAAAGGGGGTGGAGGGAGGGGAGTCACAAACTTCTGCGGGAGGAGGCAGGTGGAGTGTCCCTCTGCAGGCGGATTCACTCGGGCCCTGCGAAGAGGTGTGCTCGGCTGCTAAACCCTGCGGAATGCTGAAATAACTTTGCAGATTCAAGAGTTTGAGCAGGAAGACCCTTTTCCCATTTGCTGCCTTGGCGGTATAGTTTACCAGCCGTTCTGCTGATATCCGCTGGCCCGTAAAAGTAGAGAAAGGAAGGAGCTGTGCTCCTTGGAGAAAAGCGTTCATCCAGTGTTTGCTGTAAAGTACAAAGTATTATCCAAACTCTGTAACAGATGCATCTATATGGAAATACGAAACTGGTAGTTTTATCTAAGGGGTAGGTTAACCCATTAGTTGTGCTCCACAGAGGGGTGAATGGGAATTTGCAAAGCTGTGCTTCGAGTCGTTCTGTAACGTTTTTATGAGGAAGACCCACGTGCTCTGTTATACCATTGTAAATCCTAGTGGCTGGCCCCGGATCATGTGAAGTTGCACCACATTTATGTTCTTGTAACTGAACCTAACCTGTTGGTCTATGGAATTGAAAAACCTGGAAAATCAGTTGGTCTTTTTTTGTTTGGTTGGTTTGGTACTAACATTGAGAAACTTCCAGGAAAGAGAATTAAATAAATGAGTGACTGTCTTCGAATGGGGATTTTGTTGTTTTGTTGGATAATTTTTATTTTAAATGGTAGCAGTATTATGCAGCGTCAAAATTGGTCTCCTTTATTAGGCTCTAGATGTTAATCATAGTTCCTTAAATGTAGCCAGGCCATTGACTGATAGGGCTGTGTGAAGCTTTTATAGCGTTACTCACCAGCCTAGAGAGGTTTGAGGGTTAAAACAGTTCTCAGTTATATTCTAGGGAAAAAAAGCAGAAGAGGTCCTACACAGATAGGCAAATTACAGGCAGCTGATCCTATTTTCCACTTAACAAATTTAAACACCTAACATTTGGGATGCTTAAGCAACATTTGTTTCCAATGCACGCTCTCTCTCTTTTAGGCCTTTCATAAAATGATGGGTTTTTTTAAGTATTGCCATTTTTTAATGAGAAATCTAGGGGGAGTACCTTAATGGCAGATCTTTGTAACTCTTTGTAACTCTGTAACTCTTTGTAACTAAGAGTTACTCTGGGGAACTAAATCTGAGGCACTTGCCATCTTCCTTCGCTAGCCTGTGTACCTTTTTCCTGAAAATATTTAAAACACTGGTGGGGGCAAATACAGTGGAGATGCAATAGATCTTTGAAATATCTTTAGCCATGTGCCTTGTGATTTAGGTCAACACCAATTTAAATATTAAGTATGAAAATCTGAGATTATTCAGAGTAAATGCCTTGTTAATAGGATTTGTTTTGCTTGTGTCTATGGTGTCTTTTAATGGGATGTTAGAAAATATCAAAAGTATGTTTTCATGTGAATTTACATCTTAAGTGGATCACTGACTCATTCCAGCAACTTTGACTTGAGGGGTATCTTGAAATTTTTAAATATACAAAACTAAAGGAAAAAAAAGTCAGTCTTTCCCTCTTTGACCCTAAGAGAAGCCAGTTTAGATGTGAAGATACACAAAACTAATCCTGCAGAAGGTGTATATTTAAAAAAAGGAGAAAACCTTTTTCACTTCCAGCTTTGCACTGTGCGGTGTGTGGAACAGATTATGTTTTACTAAGATGTGCCTGTTAAAACCATTTGATTATAATGAATTACTAATTTCTAAAACAATCCTATGAAGCTGAGCAGGTATTACCGTGTGTGGTTTTATTTAAACGTACCCTGCTATTCTGCAGTGATATTTCTAATGCCACAGTTTGTCTAATATGTTGCCTGTGTTTTTGTCTCTGTCAAGGTTAGCAACATGTAGATGAATGCAAATCCTTTCTATAAAAATTACAGAGCATTTTACATATCTTGAGGGCTACACCAGTTTTCATTATATTTTACAGATATTAGCACTTTTCTGCTATTTATGTACTTTAAATGTTAGAGGGTCAAAATAATCTTTCTGCTTAGCATCTCTCACCTGCAAATATAGCAGGATTGTTATATTTACTTTAATACTTGTATAAACTATGCAGAAATTTTTAAATAAAATGTAATATATTTTATAAGCTAATAAGACTGGGTAATTAAAGGTTTCTAGTGTGCATTACTATAACTTGCAAATAAAGAGACATTTTGGTAATCTTTCTTACTAAAGATGTGAATGTTTAATGTACTTTCACTGTTTCTACTTTGGTAGTCCAATGGGAATTCAGTAATGACATTTTGTCATGTCAAACTGTGAACATAAATTTGTACTGTACAGTCCTCATTCTATATCTAGTATACAATAGATATGTATTATACTTGTTAATAAAACCATCAGAATATTATTTGTGGTCATGTCATCGTGTGATACACAACAAAATTATGGTCAGAAAAGAAGCTAAGAAAGTGTATAAATCAGTACTGATTAAACAGAACAACAACAACAAAAGCGTGTAAGGCCCCAAAACAATTCCCGTTGTTTAAGAGTCTTTAATGTAAAAATACTAAAATATATTTTGAAATTTTAATTCCTAGTGAGATCAGCATGAAACAGCAGAGTAAAACATCTCGCATCACCGTCCTGAAGTTCGTTCAATACGCTTGGCATTACAGCCTTGAAAAGATGGCCTACAGACACCTCTCTATGCGCTTCAGTTCTCTCCCTGGGGGTCTCCTGACTCTGCTGCAACATTACCCCAGTCCAGACTTGATGCGGGATGCAGCCTTTAGGAGCCGAGGCAGTGCCAGCGAGGATTTTGGGTGGCCCTTGTGCCGTGCTCGGGCACGGCGGCTGCGCACAACTGCCCTCGCATGCGTCCCCCGGGCGCAGGAGGGAGCAGAGCAGAGGGAGAGGCAGGGATTGCAAGGTGGGATAGGAAGCACCTCTTTTTCTTCTAGCTCTTGTCCTTCTGACAAGCCTTGCCCAGCTCTGCAGTCAACGGCAAACTCACAGTAAGTAGTTTATGCCCTACCAGCTCAGGCAATGTAGAGTTCATTGACTGGTCTGGAACACCAAACGTGAGTTTACTTCCTTATCGCCCACAAAACCACTGTCTGGGCCTGCGTTCATTAGACAGGCTGGTTCCCGTGGCCTTTTCCAGGTCCACGTGCCAGGGCGCACACTAAGGGCCTCTTTGTTGGTGCTAATCTGCAGACGTAGCCGGTGGATACTGCGGAGCGCTGCAGCCAGCACACACACATCCCCAACCTGCCCCCCTCTTCCAGCCCCAGCTCCAGGCACCGGCCTTTACCAGAGACTGTAGAACAAAACAGCCCCACCCCCACATTTTTTGCTGAGAGATGGTTATTTGGAGACCTGACTGAAGGATGCTTTCTTCTTTTCACATGAAAGGCAGGCTGTCTCAGGTAATAAAGTGGACTCGGTTTTTTAATTTGTTTGTTTTTATGCCAATCTTAAAAAATTAGAATAAGATGTTAATAAGTTTGAACAAGATTTAAAAAAGAAGGTACTTTCTTCTCAACCATGCTTCAGATCTCTAACAACTTCCATGTCAACCATGATGCATTTTCCTCGTTGCTGAAACAGGAGCTGTGGCAAAACTGGAGGGCAACTGCGTATGTTATTTCACATGAAGAACATGTGTCATTTGCTTTCCTGGCTGGAGACAGAGATTCTGTTGTAACCCTGGAGTCTTTGGCCTTCACAATGTAAAGAAAGTAGATACAGTTGTATAGACAGGAGGAACTCCAGTGACTCTCAAGCAAGCTAATCACACATTTCCTCTGCACAGATTTTAGTCCCCTGACAATTTTCTGTTGAGTCTGCTGACTGATGTTTTGGATTTTGTGCCATCTTGCCATTCAGCTGACAAGATCACAAACACTAAATATAAACCATCACAAAGCTTAAAGCATTAGAAGATGCTCAAACATGAAAAATTGACTAAAATGGGGACATCCTGCTTCTGGTGTTAGAAGTCCCATGTGCCTCAAAGACTCTCATTTATTAATGATAAGGTACATGTCAGCATGCCTTACCAGTTCAGTACATTTATCCTCATAAATATGAAGGAAGATCATTTCATTGCCAATATCATGCCTAACAACTTGCAGCAACACATTCCCAAATGTAAAAAACTTACTTAAAGGCAGACCCTGACTGGCCGTCTGACAACCAGATGTTTGCCCTGGGGGTGAGAGGGACAGGACAGAGGAGGCCACGAGTGGATCGTAACTCTGTCTGTCTTTCCAGGGTTCCTGGCAGAGAGCACTGAGATCATTTTTTGGCAGACAGCTGAGTGCACTCCCTGTCTTTTTAGAAACTACAGTGGATGTCAAATGCCTGCTAGAAGTTTTAAGTGACCTTTGTAAAGATCTAGTAGGTCTTGAGATGACCAGTGCACAGCCTCAGGCTTTTGTAGAAACCTAGCCCCAGGTCTGTGGACGTTAAACAAATTGCTAGCCAAATCGGTCTCAACTGAAATGCATTTTCCATCTAACAAGAGATTTTGGAGGCATTTCCTTTTTCTCTGAAGTTTTCCAGGTTTCAATCGATCAAATTAGTTTTTTTCTAATGAAAAATAATTCCCTGGTTGATTCTGCATATTTGTCATTCTGACTGCTACTATATGCCTTAACTTTCTCACCTCTGTTCTTTCTTTCAGTAGTTTATCTGTTACTGCCAGTTCTGTTGAAGATTAATGGTTCAAGTCTGAAGTAGCTGTGTGTAGCACTATGTTCCTGGGGGGGTCTCTATTTTTAAATATGGTGCTATTTAGAGCACTGCCTACAGGAAACAAAGAAAGACTGAGAAACAAGACTGAAAGAAAACTGAGAAAACTAGTTATGTTTCATCTAGAGGAAATGGTTATCCAAAAGTATAGAAAGACAATATCCATTACCACTGCAAGCTGCTCCAGTCAGACAATGTAAAACAAGTCTTGGGTCAATAAGATCAGATAATCAATGAGCATGTTATCACAAAGAAGTGTGGGGTCATCATGATTTGAGAGCTTTGACACCCTTCCCGCTTTTTGGTTAGAGGGCCAAGCAGAGTTCACGTCTGTTCTGAAAAAACTTCATGCACCCAACTAGGGAGAAAGCAAGTTTATTACAAGGTCAGTGATGTCCATACCGCATCTCCAAAATGGACAAATAGGATAGTAGATAATATTCTTGACAAGAATGTTTTGCATAACATTCAGAAATTGAAATTGTGCATTTCCAAAAAAGTATATTATGGCTATACTCTAATATTTTTAACAAAAAAATAAAGAAAGGAACAAAGAATTCACTGTACGTCTTTTAGCAATTACTCCCCTTCCTTGCTGAGGTAATTACATCACGATATTGGCATATTACTGCTTGAGGCCCAGCAAATCAATACGGTGAGCACCTATTCTATGTATTGGTGAAGTACAGAAGCGAAATCAGGTACAGCAGAAACAAGGCAGAAGAATAAAATCTTGCAAACAGAAAACAAAATGTGAGACATGACTGTCTTGCATATCTTGCTGACCCTCTTGAAAATAAGGATCTTTATAAAGCAAGACTTCATGTTTATATCATGCTGCTTACTTAATAAGAGCATTTGTTAGCAAAGCAGTATACACTCTTTTCAGTCTACACGGTAGGACTGAACCGCAGAGCAGGGGGCTGAATCACAGCCTCGGAGTCAGCACGGGAGCTGTAACGAGGTACGTCCTGATCGGATCATCCCGACGGACCCGTTTCTGCTCCTGTGGACAAACATACCTGCAAGAAGCTCCTGAATATGCTGGACCAGAAGAAGACTGTTTATTTATTTCATTTTTTTTAGGAGGAAGACTTTTTGATATGTTCTAAAATGATCTGTCCTTTTCAGGAAATGTTCAACGATAATTAAATCGGCCACTGGGTGTCAGCCTTATTCTGAGGAACTGGCAAAATAGACAACTGCAAGAATATAATTTAAGAAAATATTAAGAAATGAAGCTGTTCATCTGTCTTACCTTCTATCACTGAGTCCGATCATATCGCGCACTGAAATCTACTAAAGGATTCAAGATGGGACTTGATATCTTTATTTTATTCATTTTATTTTTTAAAAAATATAAAATCTGTTATTTTTTAATAAATATAAAACCTTAACAATTTTTTAAATGATGGCTACATTTGGCCAAAAAAAAAAAAAGAATCATCACTTTTTGTACCCTCCGAACAGTTTAACGTCAAAAAAATTGAAGTTTTGAAACAGAATTGAAACAGAAAAGTTATGTGAAACACTGTCAAGTGCTAAATTAATAGACAAAATACACTTGTTTTATCAAATGAAATTAGAAGTACATTTTATGTGGCTGAGGGTACACTACCATATGTAAATGACTAAAACACTTGGTAAGTGCATGGGAGATTTTTGAGATAAGAAGGATGTAATTGGATATTTAGGGGTTAATATTCTAAAGTGATATACCTAGCAGACCTGAGGAACCAAATTATTTCTTTCACATCTACCTACAGCTTAAGTTTCAGAGCAGCCTTAATTATGGAGAAATCTTCAAAGGCCCATATATTACTTACATAATTACATTCCTATCATACATGATTCAACACATAAAAAACAGTTTGTAGAACGTATGTCATGTAGAGATCGGAAAGACTAATTTGAGAAGTTTTACATCCTCTCTTTGCATCTATTAAACAGGACAGAGTGCATGCTTCTTACAACATTTCCAGTAAGTATTACTGCTAATTGTGCTTAGACTCTTTAAATTGGAGAGGGGAAGGATAAAGGTCTTTTAGGAAGTAGAAGAACAGCCATTTTTGAAAGTGTTCTCACTGGTTTGATGTAAAGATCAGAGGAGTCCTACAGAGGTAAAGGCTACAAATGTCTAACCAGTCTAAGTCATTGGCCTATATTACTGACCAATTCCTTAAGTATCTAACAGCTGCATATCACACAGGGCTTTTCAAACCTTAAATGTAACTCTGGCCACAGCTGAAATACAGCAGCCACTAACGCTTAGCGAGGCAACTGGAATTTACTTTCGCCTTGAGGTAAGTTTTAATAGAGATCTTCAGCCATCCTTTCTAAAGCTGTACACTCAGAGCCAGCCAACAGCATCCAACTGAGACATCTGGTTAAACTATGAGGTGGGTGAGCAGGGGTTTCTCAGCACCACTGAAAATCAGGAAGCTGTCACACGGCTGTCAGCCTGCTGCTTCCTCTGCTGCGCACACGCCCGGGAGGCGTCTGGTCAACCACACTTGCGAATGTGAAGGAGCACATCCTGCTACTTGCTTGTTCACTGGGTATGCTACTCACAGCTAGATCGGAGGGCTTTGCATTCCTGTCAAGCGGCAAGCGTAGTTACACAACTCTCACCATCAGTGAAATGACACCAGTAAATTTAAAACAGATTAAAAATGAGAGGTTTATTAGATTATAAAATTAAATACAGGCATAGCAAATGATTAATCTTTCCTATCAACAAATATAATTAGTTAATTAGCTTGACATTAGCAGAGAGATTATTTACTAATGAAAGTTCTCCTGCCTGTGTGATGACTCTCAATGGCTGCTGCTAAAAGGGTAAGACATCAGAGCTCAGGGAAACTCAGGAGATAAAGGGGATTCACCCCAAAGGATGAAGCTTCTGAGTTTAAATACTGAATAAACGAGCTAATTTGATGACAGTTATGGTAATGCAACCCTTTCTCACTGGCTGTGGAAGTTCTGTCTCCTGCTGTGCATTTGCAGTATTACCAGGGTTCTATAAATAAAAGGGGCTTTCCTGCAATATCACCATGTAATACATACTTTAAACATCTATAAAATCTCATTACAATTTAGGTTACTTACTGGCTGCTGCAGAGAGAAAGCAATAAAATATATTGTATAATATAATACAAGAATTATAATGGTGCAAGCGAGGGAAATATTCACAATGAAACAGTGAATTCATAGATTCAGAGGATGTCTTTTTCTTTGCCCTCTCATAGTTGAGAGAGTCTATATGAAAAAAAATTTTATTAAAATACATAATTACTCCTTAGAAAACCGGGAAAACACACAAGCCAATATAGCTTGATATGCTTACTGAAACAATCCTATAATACTATAGATTTTTTCACTAGTTCAGATATTAACTAATATTTTGAAGCTAATCAATGGTGAATTATATGAAGTCATGACTTACTAGGTAAATCTAGGGAAGCTGGAATATTTAATACAGCAAAGTAACCAGGATGTTAAACAGGGCATAACGGCTCCAACTTCCGGCTTTTACCCAGGAAAGTCTCTGTCTGTGACTAAGGGAAAGATTTCCACTGAGTTCATGGGACTTTAAACAAATCCTTCTGTCCGAGTACAGACTTGTAACAAGTTCCAATGATGTCTGAAGATTTAGGAATACAGTACCCTTGTCATCTGTTGTACCAATTTACAGAAATGGATTTACACAAGACGTATTTTCTTGTTTGCTTTTATTTTGCAATTAAAAACAAGGAAGTAGATCCCTGCCATCTTATCCTCACAACATCCCTGGCAGGACATAGATTAAATGCAAGAATTTACTATCCTGATAACATTCAACCTGTCATTATGTTAGTTACTCCCAAGAACTAAGGGGGAAACTCTCTAGAATTAAGGGGAAAATACCAAAATAAATGAAATCCCACTCTTCTATTACAAATAAGCGCAATTTCTAGGAATATTTGTTCTCCTTCTCTTTTTGATGATGGAAAAAATAGAGAAGATTTCTGATGCAATACTTTGACCACTAAAACAAGCAGTAGCAATTGCTATATATATTACAATTAAATTCTGTTATAATGCAAAAAAACTACCAAAAAAAGTTTAAAAATTATTAAAAATGCGATTAACACAATCTAATGCAATACAGTCATATACTGACTTATATTAATAGTAAAAATACTGCCACTCTCTACTCCTCATTTGCTTCAAAAGACACTGGCAGATTAATGTTAATAGCTGCCCTCAAGTTAGCCCAGAAAAGGGCATGCTTGCTCCTCTCCTTCGGCCACTCCAGGTAGGTCCTCTTGGCCATGAGAGCCTTCAGCTTGTGATACCTGGCAGGAATGACATACGGAGGGATCGGCTCCAGTAAAATGAGGATTAAGCTATTGGAGTTCTCACTAAATAACTTGTGATGGGCAAAGTACAGCTCATAGTGGCACCATTCGCTCTGCACAAAGTTGGGAGACAGCACAAAGACCGACTTGTAGCTCTTCTCTATGCAGTCAATGATATTCTCCACAATGCTCTTGCCCGGGATGAAATTCCTCTCGTGCTGGCACAGCTGCACACAGCCCTCCCCCTTCTCCAGGTTTGGGATCAGCTCGTTCTTCACCCACAAAGAATCACGTTCGCTGTATGAAATGAAAGCGTGAAACTGCAGCATGTTCTCCTGCTCTTGGGGGTAGCTGTGCCAAGCCCTCCGCTTCATCTGCGTCCACTGCCACATCATCCGCGCGTACCACAACGCATCAAAGTAGACGCACAGAAAGGCCACGACAGCCACCAGCACCAGCGTCAGGAGCAGAGCTGTCACAAGCAAGAGAGTGGTGTTGCAAGACAGTTCACTCAAGTGAAAGTCCTTCAGCTGGGTTCCCTGCAAGTCTTCTGGGTACCGGCACACGTAGGCCCCCGGCCAGCCCGACAGCTTCCCCCCAGACTGCTTCTCCAGGCGGATGAAGTCTCGCAGGTCGCAGGAGCACTTGAACGGATTGTGCCCTGCTTGTAGCTCCCCCACCCTTTGACAGCTCTGGAAGAAGTCGGCAGACGGCGTGAGGATTGAGTTCATCTCTATGTTCAGGGCTGCCAGGGCAGGAAAGCCGCTGCACCCGGGCAGGTCAGTCAGCCGGTTTGATGCAAGATTCAGCTCTTTCAAGGACTTCAGCTCAGCAATCCCCCTCGGGACGCTTGCGATCTGGTTGTTTTGTAGATCCAGGATTTGGATATTGACGGGCAAGCACTCAAACACAGACTCCGTCAACTGATTGGAGGACAAGTCCAGCTCTGCCAGTGAGTTCGCCCACTCGCAGCGCCCCTCAGCCCCATCGTGATGCAGCAAGTTTTTGCTCATGTCCAAATATTTCAGTGATTTCATATGGCTGGGCATGAAGCTCACCTTGGAAAGGATCTTAAATTTATTTCTCTGTAAAATAAGTGATTTCAAAGCTTTCAGAGTGACACAATTCTGGAACAACTCATCTGTCAGGGCGTTGTGAGAAAAATTTAAATACTGAAATGAGCTTGTTCTCTTGGGGCAAAGCATGTGTGGCATACACGCATCATATATTGTTAAATTTTCAATGTTCATTTCTGAAAATTGTCTGTATAGTATCTCCTGGTTGAAATAATAAACCTTATTGCGAGCATGCTCCAAAGTTAGTGCTTTCATGGAGCCACCCCAATAGACCGATCGTTCCTGAAAGCTTAATAAGAATAAAAATTCATATTCTGTCAGCTTCCCCAATGATCCACGAAAAGTCAAATTTTTCACAGTCCAGTACTCCACAGGTGAATTCCAAATAAGTAGGAAAATTTGAAAAATGATACCCCATTGCAAATCCACATTGTCAAGCATCAGAGCTGTTGTCTTGATTTTTTTCAGAAGCTCAAAAGGAGGAGAAGGGAAATCTTTGTAACTCAACATATATCTTAGGTTAGTTATTTTTAAATTTTCTGAGGTGCTCATTCCATCATACAAGAGGGAAAAAATGAAGTTTTGGTTTGCTGCAAAAACTATGTGAAGGCTCCTTGTATTTAAGGCTATCAGACTCCGAGGTTCATACCTAGAAAATTCTTCTAAGGTTAGGAAGACAGTGTGCAGCTGCAAATGTGTGATGTATCTGAAGTCTGATCTCTGTATCATCGTGGCACTTAATCCTAGGTACTCCAGATGAAACATGGTCCCAAATTCCTTACAGATGGGCAAGGCAGCAAACTTATTGAAAGAAAGATCTAAATGTCTGAGACGTGCAACACTTTGACAGTAAACTTTCAAAATGTTGTTATGAGACAAATCTAAGTATTCTAAACCCTGATTAAACATGAAGACATTGAAGTCAAGCTCTGTAATTAGATTATGAGAAAGATTCAATACTTGAAGCTCAGAAAGAGACATAAAATCAAAGATACTAAGTTCAGAGATCCTATTATGTGATAAATCTAATAGACGAGTATGGATTAAAATATTTTTTGGGATACTAGTTAGCAAACTGCTTGAATAGTTTGCAATAAATTCATTTTCCACAGTCAGCTGGATAGGATTCCAAAGAGTGAATATAAAGACCCAGGCAAAGACAAAGATATTTGTAAGGGGTCCCATTATGTCTTACAGAATTCTCTTGGTTCTTTACAAAAGCGGAGAAGCAAGGTTTTGTTTTCTGTTCAACTTTTCTCAATACTGAGTCCCACCCTATGGAAAGAAAACACATTGAATTTGCTGAATGTGTTTAGTTGTTGCACTCGCTGTTGATTGCTAAAATAAAATTCCATATAAAATTTATGCAATAAAAGTTATATTTTTGCTGTTTTTTCTAAGGTATTACGAATCCCCCTCACCCTCATCCTTTAATTCCAATTCTTGTTTTTCTCAGTTAAGTGGAAAGGAATTCTGTTATAATGGGAGGAATACAATCAGTGGTACCTTTTTAAAAAATACAAAGATGCTAAGAAACACAAATTTCACAGTACTCTTCAAAATTCAAAAAGAATAAAAATTTGGGAGTAAAGGAGAACACAACAAGCCTCCCATCTGCTGCTTTCCTACACCCCATGTCTAGACAAACACAGGGACAAAATTCCAAAAGCCCCACAGGCCCTTATGGGAATCAGTGCAAAAGCATCCTCTTCATTCAGAAGAGCCAATGGATATTCCTCTTTGTACTTCAAACACCAGGGACTTGGCCATGTACCCCCTCACAGTCAGCTGATCAGGGAAGCTAGCTCTAGCAAAGACAGGAATGTCTGTTTTTCTAGTAGGCCAAGAAGCTTGAGGAGGAATTATACTCTCATGAATATTGTAATGCCAGTGTGTTCAAAGCATAACTACAGGAAAACCACAGCACAATTAGCAACTCTGTATGAAGCAGTGGTGCCCAAAATCTGAAAAGAAGACACCTTACTCTAAACACCTGCAAAATCTCCTGGATTTCCTAGGAACATCTCCAAATTATCCCATAGCTGTAGCTTGGCAAAGAAGCTCTCTAGAAAAAGTGAGGGACGATGAGTTTAGCACTCAGGATTAAAAACCCATGGAGGAAGAGATTTTTTGGAGACGGAAAATGGCCCAATAGAATTAACATATAGTCATGTCCATCAGTATTCCACATAGATCTGGAGAGGCATCATGAGAGTCCTCTCATGAAAAAGCATGCCCTGGGCATTACTACTCTCTTTTGGTTAAGCATTTAAAAAAACATACAGAAAACCTGAGACACGAAAGAGTCAC